ACAATGGAAGAGATAAGTGAGAAAGTAAAGAATAAAATATAAAGAAATAGAGAAGTAAAGAAGAAATAAGTATAGGAAAAGTAAGACAAGCACAATGGAAAGTGAGAGGGAACAGAGTAAAACGAGAAGACAGAAAGGAAGATCGAAGTAAAGAAGTCAAATGTAGAAAAGTAAGGAATGGAGTTATAAAAGTAGAGAAGAAACGAGGAAAGAGATAAGTGAGAAAGTAAAGAATGAAGGATAAAGAAATAAATGTAGGAAAAGAAGAAAGTTCGAAATGGATACGAGAGGTAATTCCAAGAGACCAGTATAGGAGACCGGCTCGAGGAAGAATGCGCGCTCCGAGTCCGGGCACTGCCTCGAGCGCTATCCCCACTCTCCGCCTGCTCCCACTCAACGCCTGCTCCCACTCCCCGAGTCCTTCGCGACGAATTTGCGCGCACGCAATTTTGGGCAACTTCCAGTACTTCGAAATATGCTTGGCCAAAATTTCCGATTTCTAAGTGTTAATATTTTACTTTATTAATTTAATTAACTATTTTAATGTTCCAAACACTTAATTATTTAATATTTAAATTGGAGCGTAATTTATTTTCGATATTCTACAATATCAATTCAATTTTTATCTACTTTGTATATTCTGTGAGATTTTAATTAAGCCTAGATAAATTTTGATTAAGCATACTTTTCAAGAACTATTGAAAAAGCCTATTGATAAAACATTCTTCCAAGCCAGCGGTGAGTAGCGGAGAACCTCTGCCCGCCGGGTACACGTTCGTGCTCACGTTTAGCTCGGTTACCACGGGAGTTGCATTGTCGCCAGAAACGATGATCACAATATCCTACTTCCAAACTCGCCACTACGATTCAGCGCTATGATTTGGGTATCGCCTAAAACCGTAGCGTTGTGCACCTTCTTACTCATCTCTGTACAAATTTTTAGTGTCTCCAACCATATGTACCTACATGCAGTCAAATGTACAATATATATATATATACTCTGTACACCAAAAACAAAACGACTAGGGTATCTCCCGCTGCTTAAAATCCTCATCTATTATTGTATACGTTCTCTGCAGTGGGCACTGCGCCACATTTCTCTTCAACGACAGGCAAAGAATTTTTTGATGATTTAGGTATACGTCGCCAGACTCCTGGACGTGTACAATGAGTCATTCTCCTTAGTGGTAAAGTTCTACGGAATTTAACTGTTGTATGCTTAGAACTCAAATATTCATATCGATAGATATTGTTCACTTCTAATTATTTATATAAATTCCATACAACCCACGTATAAAAAATTCTAATGAAATTCATATATTTTTTTGAACTTAATCAAGTGGCTCAGAATAATACATGAACATGTAATAAATTACCAAAGACTTACCAAAAATTTTATATGACGAATCTTGAAGAGTTTTAAGTTCCAATGAAATACATAATTATAAAGGGGGTGCTTAAAGTCAAGCTAGGTTATGTGTTTCTGATGGAGCAGAGGATAGAAGCGTAGTGGTATCCAATTTTAAAAGCTCATTTAAAATCCGGTAATGGTAGGGAGACGGTTGTGTCTCGTTATCTTTGAGATCCTTTGAGAAAGTATTTATTTCCTTTACAATATGTTAGCTTTGACTTGACTGATTCGGATGAATATAATTTCACTGTGACAGGGAATTACGGAATTTCTTAAAATTAACCAACGTCTTCCTTTTGTTTTCCTGTACGAAAATATCTCCACGACTTGATGATCTCATTGTGTAAATTACTCCAGATACCGTGTGATACTGTAAATTAAGGTTAAAGGAAGCCGGTGCGGTATGAACAAAATGGTAGATGAATTCTCCTCATAAATTGCTTCTCTCTCTCTCTAAACTCTCCTCGCGAAAATTCAATTTTAATAATTTGTCGAATTCTCACAACAAACCACGACCGTGCATCTTAGCTGACAGACTCTATACAGATTGACGATTATTATTATTGTTAGTATTATTTAGAAAGAAAAATTATAGATAACTATTAATTAAATATTAGTGATATGAATTTTTTTTTTGAAATCATACGCGTATTTTATTTCGCTCGTACATTACTCATAATACATAGTTACATTTACACAAATTTACAAATATCTTTGAAATGAGATTACAGCTCATGCGGTTCTACCCTCCGTCCAATAGTTAGGCGTTCTTTTTGTTTTTATATTAATTAACAAGTATCGTCATTCGCATTGTTCATCGCTGATTAATAACTCGTTCACGTCTCATTCGCATCGGACGGAGGAAGCATAGTACGTCAGCAATAATAACTAACCTTTAATCGGGTAGTATGTAATCATCTTTGATCCATTAATAAAGAAGATTTCATCCGTGATTTTTGTCACATACTTTCTCTCTCTTTCTCTAATTTAGAAATATTTTCGAGTGAAACTCTCTGTTTCTCATTTTTCTTAATTCTTAAACTCGCACTTCCGGTATTACCGGATACACCGATTTTTCAGGACAATCGCAAACAATGATAACGATAATAATAATATACAGAGCAGATATTTTAAACGAAAGACGAAATATTCTTGACTATTTGTCACTGACTTCATTTATTAATTGCGCAAATCATGCGATAGAACGAAATCGATCGGTCGGATTCATCTGAGTGGTATATTATCTAATTTTGATTTAAAAAAAATAATAACGAACCGTCGAACGGTCCTAATTATTTAATTAAAAGAAAAAGTAAACGCTGCTACGAAGTATACGCTTTTATTGGCTAAAGCGTGCGTCCCGCAAATAATTTTTCTCCATATTAATCTATCACGAAGATGATCACATATGTGGCCCATACGAGTAGCATGGCGATTCACGTGGCGACATTAAAATTTATTACGAAATGTCCTCTGGTGTAGAAGTCCGATTCTCCTCGATATTTTGTTATAATAGAAAAAAAAGATTCTTCGATCAAAACTATTAAATGCAACATCCTGATGTGGAATAATATTAGTCAGAGTAAATATGGTCAGAATTTGAAGAAAGGTTATAACAGAAAAAAAGAGGAGCGATTATCGGACTTCTCTTGGAAAAATTCATTTTAACTTTCATATGGAAACGTCAATCGCATTTTATGATCAACGACGTCACTTGTCGTTTGTAACGAATTAATATATTTTTATATATATATATATATCTATATATTTATTTTTATTATACTTTATGTATACGAAAAAACGTCCAAGTGTCTTTTATATAAAAGATAAAAAATACGTACATGCGCGATACTCATCAAAGGGTTACGCCCAGAACACGACGATGAGTATTTTCATCGTCGATTACGAATAATTATTTTCATTTTTTTTTCTCTTTAATATTTACACGGAAAATAATTCAAGAGTAGCTCCCGATACGCTATTAATGGTTTGCAGAAAGAAATGTAGCAAAAAAAATTATTTAGCAAAGAAGACGGTTCGCTAAAGAGCTTTGGCAAATTATTTTTGCGTATCGTGATTTTGGAAAAAAAAATAATAATAAAGCACGGCGTCTTTTACGTCTTGCCTACGTCATTGTTACAATGTCGATTCTAATTCTCTTGGCATCTTATGGGGCTTTTCCCCCTTTTTTAACACGTCTTATCGTTTATCGAGAAAATAAAATACTCCGACATTGGTCAATTTTGGTGAAAAATTCCATTTTTCGAAATCCCTAGAAACTGACGTCATTGAGTTATTTTTTGCCACTCCCCTGGCCCGCTGCTTTTTTCACTTAAAACAAATGTCCTGACTATAACGAACCGTGACGTAGTCGTACACGTGTAATTTATCTAATAATAGAAGTAACGTTCAGTCCTATTTCTGCTTTCTTTTCCATGATTTTTCATTTTTTTTTCTTTTCCTCTTTTTACATGGTGATTCCTTATCGCCGACCGAAGAGTCTTTTCTAATCTTTATAGGTCATCTCGTTCTCCCCATATGTATATATATATATATATATATAT